TTTTTTAAAAGTGCAAGTATTTTGAATGGAGAAATTTTAATTAATTATTTGTTTGTAAAAATATGCAAACCTAAATGTTTTTTATTATACCAACTCTAGAGAAAAGCAAGTGTGGACCACTTCCTGTAATTCCTAATAGGGAAGTGACATCTCAGCGTAACAAATATGGGCAAGGTGAAAGTGTCCCAATTATTTGTAAGGAAGGATACATCGCTCAGATTAATCACGTAACGTGTGTTGAGGGAAAATGGCATTCAGATGGAACATCACTCAAAACAATCTGTGCACGTGAGTCACCTTCAGTCTTATTTTATCAGATGTAGGCGTTTATAAAGAGATTATGATGTAAAACCTAACACTGAATATGTTTTCATTTCTTGCAGCTATTGCCAGTCACTGTTCTCCCCCGCCTAAAGTTGAAAATGCTGTTGCTGTGACTTCATACCAGAGGGAATACTTGTCTGGCTCTGAAGTAACTTATCGATGCCGTGATCATTATACAATGGAAGGAGACGCCACAATTATATGCAACAATGGGCAATGGGAGGAGAAGAACATTACATGCACACGTACGTACATCCAAAAGCATTTTACAAAGTAACTCGCAGAAAGCCTTAAGAAGATTTACAACATAGTAGTCCACAATATAGTACAAAATCGAGAAGCAAAATTCAAGATTTCACAAATCAATTTATATGATCACTAATCTCAATTCTCATGTCTCGGTGTGTAATCAGTCCTTTTGTTTAGTCCTTAACAAGCAGCTACAAACAACACGTTGCAGCAAAACACTGAAAGTTTAGTCTTTTCACTAACTGTTTCAAAACTGTTGTGTAACAACTGTAAATGACATCATGGCATCTTGTTTTCATTCTGCCGGTTTGCTTCCCTTCCTCTCTGTGCTCACATGAACAGTATTTTAGTTCAATTGGACTCCCAATGAAGCTGTTCTCATTTACATGTTTTTATGTTTCTGTTGTTCTTTCAAATAGTGACCAGTCTGACTCTGTGTTGTGTGTGCATTAGCCTGGCTGTTCACAACAGAAGCGAATTTCTCTGCACCAGTCAACAAATGATTTTGACCCACTGCTCTTTTTACAATCTCACGTAGCACTGATCTTTATATCAACCTCATGAATTTAGAACCTTGAGCTTTTTATGTTCCTGGATAAACAAAAACCATAAATGTTACGTAGAACTGGATGCATGATTTACACCCATCGTTTGTTGAGATGTGATACTGAACACAGAAATCTTCTCTCACAGCTCCCACTCTGGAACAGTGATGCAGATTTTCCTCGAGGTCCAAAAAAGTCTCAGTGAAAATTCCCCCCCCCCCCCTCAGAATTTCATATGGCTCGTATGAACAGCATATTCTGTTTGGATATTTTGAATTTGCCCTTTTTCCGAATTTAGCATTTTCTGATTAACACACTGGATATGAATATTATTATGTTTTATGTTGTGTTTTATGACCGTTCTTTGCACATGTATACAGCAGGTTTGGATGGGCACATTATGAAATATTTGTATAACAGTTTTTTGTAGAATCATTAAAGTTTAAGTAAACTGTGTAGTCAAAGAATCTAATCAAATTGATTATGACTGACTGATTGTTCCCCTGAATGATTTTTACAATGGCCTCGTACTGCAGTGTCAACACTATTGTCACATGACCACATTTACTGTGGTCATTAAAACTGGACAGAACGGTTGATATCATCAGCAGATACTCTCAATCGAGGTTTTCATAAACCAGTCGAGTGCTACATTCAAGCAAAACAGCTTATGTTTGCCTTAATGTGATGTTTTTTATTGAAACTTCCCTGGACCAACCTGTCAGGTCAAATTTAATTTGATATATCACAAATGTTTGCTCAAATTAAGTTTGATTAATTCCTCCAGGATTAACATATGGCAAGTCACTAGAGAGGAGCTCCCTTGCTGCATTTTACATAATAGGATACCTAAAAAATAAACTATGAAGGGTCTATAAATTGATTGTGTGTGTACTTATATATGTCAGCTGCTGTGTGGACTGAATTTCCTGCTCCACCTCTGCACAACAGACACAGAGAGAGAGAGAGGAGCGCCTCTCGTGGTCACTCTCCTTTATAGAAAGTAGCCATGGTCTGTCCACAATGTCACTAGTTGTGTTGTGAGGTGCTTTTTGAAAAAAAATGTCAATAAATGTGTATGTAAGCTCCTGTTTACCACTCAAGGCATCCAATCGATTACACCTCTATAACCAATCCAGCTTTAGACTTAAGTAGGACCGCCTACCTGTTTAACATACAGACACAGAAATAAACCAGTCAATCAATGTAGAAATATACAGAAATTAATAAATATACAAATGAATCAATGTAGATGAAATAAAGTAATATATAAATAAATAAATCTTGATATGCACAATTAAATGAATCATAAATGTATAAATAAATACATAATTAAATGAATATAGAAATACAGATATAAATAAATAAATGTAGAAATACATGATTAAATGTAAAAGTACAGAAAAAGCATTTTTTAATAGCATTTTTTTAAAGCATTTTTTTATTTGGCTACCAAATGTATTTATTTTGCATGTCTTTATGTATCTGATTATTTATTTCTGCATTTATTTATCTATAAACACAAAATAATTCAAATTGTCTATTATTTTCAATTTACTATAGACATCCAAATAAATCCATATTTGAATGTTGATATTAGTTAAATACTAAGTTACTGCAAAAAATACTGTTCATTTCAATGTATATTCTCACTCATTCTGTGAAGCTGTGACATGAATATAATAAAATATGAGTTGTGTCATTTAATTATTCCATAACAATCGTTTTGGCTATTTAAAATATATATGTGTGTGTGTGTGTGTGCGTGTATGTATGTGTGTGTATATGTGGGTGGGTGAGAGAGAGAGAGAGAGAGAGAGAGAGGTAAGAGGAGGGTTTAGGAGAGTTGCCAATGTTCCCGAGACTATCTTCATTGCATGTGTGTGCATTTGCACTGTGCAGAAATACTTTAATTGGACCTGTAAAACTAAAAGAGGAAGAGCAATACCTGAGCTACAAATACTCTGGTCAGCGAATAATTCCTAAATACTGCAATTCCTGGATGTTCATAATGAGACTCTTTCACCATCTTTGGTTTTTTATCCTGTGGCTGAACGTGGATGAATCTCTGCAGCAGGACGGTAAGAACATCAGATCACAAGTCCAGTTTCTCTGTGGTTGAAGACAGAAATACATCATGCAACTGATTTTGCTAAATCCTCTGTCCTAATAAAATCTGACACAGGTGAGAAAATATCACTTTTTTCAGATGGAAGCATTTTCTGTAATCAAGTGTCATTTATCAACATCAACACTAGGGGAACATCTTCTGATTTATCTGGAATGGCAGGGTTAAAGTTGCTTATCAATTTATTACATAGAAAACCTGTAGAACTGTTTTTCAAAAAGGTGCAAAAGAACAACTGTGAGATGCATCCTACTTTCATATAAGGTCCATCGTTGGCCTGCCATGGATAAAACATGTTCTCAGTTTGCTTTGTCTTTGCTTGTAAAGAGAAAACAAAAATAATTAAGGTCAGTTCCCTTTGGGGTACGAGCTGTGACAGTTTCTTTCTAGAGCAGACAGCTAACTCCAAAATGAGACACAAAATGATCATTTGACCAAGATTTTCTGAATATGCCATTGAAGCCTCAAGCCCTATGGTGGGATTTTTCTAGCCAAATGGATATTCAGTTTGGCGTTAATTGTAGTTAATAGGTTAACACTACGAGAAACGAAGTTGACAGGGCCCCTTTGTCAAGAGCATAATACATTTTCCTCAAATTAATTGTGTGGTGTTTTCATACGACACTATGATAGTAATGAAATATATTACCTGGCCAACTTGCAATGGCAGACCTCACATTATTTCCCTTGGAATTACACGTCTTGGGTTGTGTATTGTGACTCGTCCAGCCTGTGAGCTCTTCTGTGGAATTACACCATAGTAAGAAGAAAGTCTAAAGGAATAAATAACATCACAGATATGACACTGCCTAGTTATTTTCTTCTTTGTTCTTTTAGAATTTGCAAAAAGTAATGCTGCTCCATGTATCACTGTCAGGACAGGATAAGTCACTGTTACTGTTGAAGTTACTTGCAATGATGTTACCGATACGTAGGCTGAGCTACTCCTCAGCTTAGACTTTGGCTTAGGTAAACATTTGGCTTCAGCACCTATTAAAACTTGGACAGGCTTCATGTCACATGTTGCAAACTCATGGTCACTCTCACCAGGTTAATCGGCGCTTGCTGTTAACTTGGTTTTTCATGAACAAATGTCTTGGTTGTGTGTCTTTCTTCAACAGAGGTGAACTGTTCAGTACCTGTGATTGAAAATGGATATGTGTCTGGGGATATCAGAGAGTACAAACGACATGAAGTCCTGCATTTTCTTTGCAATGAGACATACAGTCCCTTTAGAAAAACACCTTCAATATGCACAAAAATAGGCACTAAAGTAGTTTGGGACCCCACACCTAAATGTGAACGTAAGTGTGAACTCAGTTATCCAAATTTATTGTTTACATCGACCTTACAGGTGAAAATCATGCTGTATAGGTTGTCTAACTAACAGAAAATATGCTTCCTTTCGCATCAAATGCAGTAACAACATGTAGAGTGTCACTGCTGCCACCTGAAGGAACCAGGTATGAACCTCCTTTCAGGAATTTGTTTTCACCTGGTGAATCAGTAAGAGTAATATGTGGAGACAAGCACAACACCTCAGAAGTCGCTACATGCAAAGATGATGGAGAGTGGACTTTCGAACCAACATGCAGTGGTATAAAACTCCATTATGAGATTGTTTTTGGTGGCTGGTCAGCATGTGATGATGGTTGCGGTTGTCTTGCTCAAATAAACAGAAAATATGTTTCATTTCACATCAAATGCAGCAATAACATGCAAACTGCCACAGGTTGCAGTCGGAGGAGCCACTTATGACCCTCCTTTCAGAAATGTGTTTCCACCTGGTGGAACAGTAAAAATAACATGTGGAGACAACTACTACATTTCCCGCCCTCAAGACACCTCAGCAGTTGCTACATGCAAAGATGATGGAGAGTGGAGTTTCACACCAATATGCAGAGGTATTAAACTCCATGGGCTTCAAACAGACTGTCTCCAGAGACACATTATGAGATTGTTTTTGGTGGTTCGTCAACACTTGATGATTTCCAATCATATCTCTTTTACTTGAGGTTAACAAGTCTCTCTCTTATTCTAGAGGACTTTTCACAGTATGGAATGTAGGTGTGCGTCTGTTTTACAAAACTTAACAACAACAATGCATTACCAGCAATGAGAACAAAAGTTACAGCCACAATGTACTAAGATTAAATGTTACGGGTTCACCAAACTGATTACAAATGATCCTTTGGAGGACATGAATGTGTGGATCAGCTTTCATACTTATCCATCCAATAGCTTCAAAGACAAGTCACTAAATGTAGATAATCTATGTAATCTATGTAAAGCTATTGGTGGCACTAGAAAAAAAGACAGAGCTTCACCAAAGTCAGTAGGATTCATCTCCTCGGGACTGTGAATGTCTGTGCAAAATTTAATGTGAATCATTAAAGTGGGTGCAAACTGTGACCTGCTATACAAAATCAAGGATTCAACAAAGTCATTATGATTTCTTTTTTGAGCACCACAAATATGAAATTACATGAAAATCTATCAAATAGTTTTTGGGTTACAGTCACAGGTTACAGGTCCAGTTATAACCAGCATGAAGTAAATTGCCACAGTGACTTGTCAATCTGGAACATTAACATTTTTATTTAGAAGATGAAATGAAGTTTTGGAATCAGTGAAGATTGTTTTGTATAAAAGTGACTATACAAACACCTGAAGGACAAGAAAAAATAAAATTTAACATTTGTTTGCTGCCTAATGACCTTGAACTCACTGCACCCAATAAGTGTCCCTCTTTCTCTGCTGCTTTTTTGACCATATTGGTCTGAATATAAGATGATCGTTATTAGACAGCCCCCCCCCCCCAATCCAAACAAAACCTACACATATTCATACCTAACCTTTACTTGTAAATTCCCTCTTAAGTTCCACATTATAAATTAACAATTACAAAAGAACAAATATGGATAAATAGAGAATCAAATAAAAAATTAATTTAATTAGAAAATGTGGAACTAAAACAGTTGCAATTACCCAACATTTGCTGTTTGCTGTCGATGTTAAGTCTACAATTCCTTTCACTTTAAAATATTTCTAGGAGAAGTGTTATTCGGGGCATTTTGCTTTATCACCAGCTGCTCT